CTAGGAAATGTTTTTTCCTCTCGGTGCAATCCATCTAAAAAGTCCATATAATTGGAAAGTTGTTGCAGTTATAAGTTAGCGATGTTTGAAATCTGCACCAACAATGCTGTCAATACCTAATTATATTGCTAAATTAAAAGTAAAGTGCTTTAAGCCTGCTTGAATGTGGAGACCGTATCTGCTTCCATAACAAAATGGGAAGCTGATGCCAAAGTAAAGGAGTTGGTAGCTAATGCTCTGCACACCAACAGTGACCTTTGGAACCTTAGGGACCACCAGGTCTGGCGTTTTGCTCGACTGGTTGATATGACACTAAGGTGTCTTGGAGATAAGAGGGGAGCCAAGCCATTTATGGTCTTTATAAGTTAAGAGGAGGATTTTAAACTTTTTCTGTAATCCACAGGAGCCAGTGGAGTGATTTTAACACCGGAGTTATGTGCTCCCTCCTTTTGGTACCTGTTAAGATCCTAAGCTGCCTGTAATTCTGAACGAGCTGGAGGAAGCTCTTCAAAGGGCTTTAGGGCACGCTGCCAGTAAAGCGTTTACAGTAGTCAAGCCTTGAGGTGACAAACCGCTTGTGAATGAGTTTTTCCGCGTCACTTTTAGGAGGAAATTCCTAATTTTAGCGATGTTCCGTAAGTGGAAGTACGCCGTTTTAGTTGTTGGCTTTATAAGCTTGTCAGGAGGATGTAATTTTATTATTAAAGAGTGGAAGGAAAAGTCGACACTGCTCAGTGAGCTTGGAATTTTAGGCTCGATTGCGCTATGGCTGTTTGTTGAGTTTAGCGACTGGGTGACCAAACAAAAATCTATTGTGTTTTTATTGGCTTTATTAAGTTGATGTATTGAGTTCGAGGCCTGCGAGGGCATTTAGGTTTCGGAGACCTGCTTTTCCACTCCCTCCTGGACAGGCTTCCGAGTGGGAAGTGGCGATATAGCCTCTCCTATTTTCTGACGTCCTTGTTTTAAAGTTGTGGAGTTTGAACACTGTACCAGGGGCTCGACGATGATCTAATCCTAAATGGTTTACTGTTTTAAACGGAAGCATGCTTGCATTTAATGAGAATTTTAAAGGAACTCCATAGTGTTGTCCACCGTTTGGTCAATGACTGAGGGACTGCCGCATGCTGTGACAGGTTTCACCTGCAGCAGTATTCAACATAGGCTGTACTTAGTTCTTTGAACCTTGTGATAGATTTTATCTTTAAGGTTTCCTTTTCATTATGGTTTTATCTTGCGGGGGACAGGAAAAGTCCTCCAAAGGCGAGATCAAACGAGATCAAGAAATGTTCAGACAGCAACGAGCTTTGACGGTGGATCTGTCAAACATTTGGAGACATCACAGCCGTAGGTCAGGACAAGTCCAAGGTGGGGTTTGTATGAATGTGAGTAGGTTCCTCGACATTCTGAGAGTAAAACCAACACCATCCTAGTACGCACGCTGAAAGCTTTGTTTAAGCTGTCAGTGCTGTCGTCCACATGTATATTGGAAGTCTCCAGCAATAACTATGTTTTCCCATTCCAAAACTAGGTTTGGCAATGAAGTCAGAGAATTCTGTTAGGAACTCGCTGTAAGGACCAGGAGGTCCTGGTATAAAAACTATAATAGTATGCTTTTTGTTTTCTCCACCTCAGGACAGGTGATTGAAAGTGTTATAGGGTTTCAAACGAGTGAAAAGCGTTGTTGGTTTTTGGACTAAGAACCAAGTTGGTGTTTGATATAATCGCATCACCACCAGCCGCGACCTGTAGCTCTGGCCTTTCTGGTAGTTAACATGCGTCCGGGTGGAGTGCACTCATTCAATCTAACGTATCGTCCTGTTGGAGCCAAGTCTTCCGAGTTGGAGCTGCTAACAGATCCAAGCCCATTTTATATAAGTTTCGCTTATGAGGAAGCGATTTTAGACGTGATTGATCTGACTTTCATTAACCCACATTTAACAACCCTCCGCTTGAACTATTCGTCTGTCGGAACTTTTATTAAGTTACTGTGGTTCTGGACACCTAGTCAGATTTCTCCATATAGTGCTTTTTAGACTTCAGCGGGGGAAAACACACAGTTTCAATCTGACTAGGTTTCTGAGGCTAGTAACTGAGCACACACAGGCACACACACACTTGCACACACAGGTTTTCAAATCTGACTAGCTTCTGAGGCTAGTAACTGAACAGGACGGGGCTCAGAGTTATGGCAGAGCAGCCTCTGCACCCGGGGCCTCAGTTCTGCATCGTCATTTGAGTGCCCGCAGCAGAACAGTTTAGGCCAGGGCCAAATTCTTAGCCAAAAGGGATGTACCCGCCAACGTTGGGTGGATATCATCCGCGCGGATGAGGCCGGGCTTTCCCTCAAAAGGCACTCCAATGTCAACATGATCAACACCACTTCGAGGGGCACCAGCCTGACAGCCAGCGGTTGAGAGCCGAGTGTCTGCTGAATGCTTCCTGCACTGCTAGTGCTAGGTTAGGGGCCCAGAGAAGTGACAGTGTCGGCCATTGTGCTAGCCAGCTTGTCACGGCGGCGACTTGCAGCTTAACACCTCGGACTGTTTCCGCCGAACGTCTTTACCACCGCGTGAATAACAATTCGTCGGTAACGTGCTTGTGGGTCATCATGAGAACTCAAGATTCCTTCAAATTTCACCAAGCGCTGGCCAGGGAAGCAACGAAACGTGGACTCTCTCTTTAACTCCTCTAACAATAGACAGCCATTACCAGTCTCTGCTCTCTCAGGCTCTCTCAGCGGCTCTCTCAAGCGGCTCTCTCAGCGGCTCTCTTCAGCGGCATCTCAGTGCTCTCTCAGCGGCCTCTCTCAGCGGCTACTCTCAGCGGGCTCTCTCAGCAGCTCTCTCAGGCGGCTCTCACAGTGGGGCCATCTTCCCCGACAGAGCGCTCCCAGGCGATTTGTAAATGCTAACAGGAGGAGTGCCCAATGGGGAAACTACCAACAGACACGTGCCCTCTCCCGAACAGGTACCACAAAGCCATCACTATCCTGGACTTGTCCCATGCTGCGGAGGACGGGCTAGGGATCCTAGGCTCGCTAGTTCTCACTCTGCCTTTCCCTAAAGCTAGCCTATCCGCAGTATATCCAGAGGAAAACGGCCTGGCTGTAGCTAATGCTGGCGCTAGCTCGAGACTCCAGTGCTCGGAGACGCAGCTCTAACTCACTGACCCTGGATTCCAGAGCTACGGACTACACTACACATCTATCATAACCCTTTCAGCAGCAAAGGACACATCAGACGCCATATAGCGAAGGTTAGGAGCCTCTAGGCGTAGAAGGCTCCAGGGCTAGTTACGATCCGGTCCCCGCACAACAGACTCCGAGACCAGACATCGACCGCACCTAAACCTCAGCTGCAGTACAGCTGGATCGGATAGTGGCTTAACACAGTTAGCTTGGATGTTACATAGGTGGGATTGAGTTAATGCGTTTGTCTTGTGCTAACAGAGCGAGTGATAGCAGTCAAGAACTCGCTCACCGGATACAGGAAGTCACGATCCAGTTCAGCTGGATGCCTTGTAGAAGAAAGCCTTTGTAACTCACACTCCAATTTAGGAAATCAGTGCTTTGTTTAGGGAGGATGTGTCTTTCAGAAAACAGTTGGGCTTTATATACATTATTTTTTTAAACCTGTATAAACCTACATATTCAGATACTCTAAAGGTCTTTTGAGGAAGTAAGGTGGCTAATATATTGTAGATAAAATATTTTTTAATGTCTTCAGCTTAGAAGCTTCATTAGATATAATAAAAAAGTTTAACTTAACCTGTGAACACAGTTAAAAAAAAAAAAAATAATCTCTAAAAATTGTTTTTTAGCAGAGTGGGACTATGTCAGAATTGTCTAACTTGCTATTGTCCAATTCGGACTGACAATATTATCAAAAATTGATGCTATGGAATGAGATTTAGAAAGACTAATATTGTAAAAAGAGGATTGTGTTCAGCATGTTCAAAAAGCACAATACACAATAGGTCAATACTCGTTTTAGGCTCTTACAATACAAGTGGCTCATGCGACGTATGTGACACTTGCGCTGTGACTTGTTCCTGCTCCACCAGAGCTACTCCACCTCTGCTGCTGTGACTGTCTGCTCCACCAGAGGCTACTCACCTCTTGCTGCTGTGACCTGTCCTGCTCCACCCAGAGGCTACTCACCTCTGGTTGTGACCCGTCCTGCTCCACCCAGAGGCTACTCCACTCTGCTGCTGTGACTGACCTGCTCCACCCAGAGGCTAATCCACCTTGCTGTTGTGACCCGTCCTGTCCACCAGAGGCTACTCTCCTCTGCTGTTGTGACCCGTCCTGCCCACCCAGAGGCTACTCCACCTTGCTGTTGTGACCGTCTGCGCCACCCCGAGGTACTCCACCTCTGACTGCTGTGGACCCATCATGCTCCACCCAGAGGGCTACTCCACTCTGCTGCTGTGAACGTCCTGCTCACCCAGAGGCTACTTACACCTCTCTGCTTGTGACCGTCCTGCTCCACCCAGAGGCTACTCCACCTCTGCATTCTGTGACCCATCCTGCTCCACCAGAGGCTACTTCCACTCTGTGCTGTGACCTGAGGGCTGTTGCTGATTATTACTATAGTTAGATTTTTAGAATGATCAATTTTATTTTAGTTTTAGGAGACCTGAAATTTGTCCGACGAGGATCAATAAAGTATCTATCTATCTACTATTGTATTGAATAGTTTATATATAAATCATTTTTTTCCCAAATGTATTTTGTAAGAATAATAATTTAATAAAATGTTGCTTGTATTTTTTTTTTATTTTTATATGGCCAGGCTCTTTATATACCCGGGTATATCCTGGCCTGCTAACTGGGCCTTACTGTCGGTGCTCCCCAATTATGGATTATAGTGTTTTCTTTTGTGTTTAAAAAAAAAGATAAGTCAGATGTAATTACCTTGTTTATATGTCGCCTGGTGGTCTCTGGAGGAGGGTTGTTTGGTGTCCTTTTGTGTGTGGCAGGAGGAAGGCTTCCCCCTTCATGGTTGATGCTTGATAATGATCACGTTCTTCATTTCAATTCCTCCTTGCTGTTTGTTGATTTGTTGTTTTCCAGATCCGATGACCTGAGCCCGTGTCCCAATCCATTGAAAAGGTTTTGGCTCTTGCAGTGATTGAATGGCTATTTTCTGGAGAAAGGAGGAGTGTCTGGCAGGCCAGGCAAGTTTTTGAGTGGAGAGAGGGTGTTGTTCACTCTCACACTCTGCTGTCTGTCACTGAGGTATGACTTCAGCCAGTTTACTGTCTGGTTAGAGAGGTGGAAATCAGTGAGTTTGTTCAGGAGGATGTCATGACTGACTGTGTCAAAAGCTTTTCGGAGGTCGAGGAACACCGCCCCCACCACTCCTCCTTGATCAAGGCTAGATCTAATCTCTTCAGTGAAGTAGCAGCAGGCGGCTTCTGTGGAGTATTTGCTTCTAAAACCAAATTGTAGAGGGTTTAAGAAGCAATGGCTGTCAAAGTGTTCAATAAGCTGCTCTGCTACAACCTTTTCAAAGACTTTGGAGATAGTGGGTAGGATGCTAATGGGGCGGTTTGTCCCGACTTGTACACAGGCGTGACAATGCCAGGTTTCAACGCAGCCGGAAATGTACTGTTACTTATTGACTGGTTTATAGTTTTTGCCAGAGGTAGGCATAGTGTCCTTATGTCTTTTTAAAAACAAACTGTCCATCCCATAGATATCTTTTGCTTTACTATTATTTAATTTAATCGATACTTTTGATAACTTTTTCTTCATTTACGAGTTTTAATTTAAAAAGGGCTTCCTCATCGACTTGGGGTTGATTATAAAAACATGGTGCACCAGTTTTTGAAATGAATTAATAAAATAGTCATTAAAATGCATTGCCAAAAAAGCACTATCATTTTGAATCTCACCATTTACTTTTAGTTGCATATCACAATAAGTCCGGCGTTTGCCCAGAAGCTTATCAATATTTCTCCATAAAACTTTATTATTTCCTTTTGCTTCCTTAATTAAATTAAGAAAGAATGTGGCCTTAGCTTTTCTAATTAGTGCCGTTACTTTATTTCGAAGGCTTTTGTAGACCAGGTGGTTAGTTGATAATTGGCTTTTTATAAACATTTTCAAAGCAGCATCTCTTTTCTTCATTAATTTCCAGAGTTCAGCGTTAAACCAAGGCAGACTCTGCGTCGGTTTCCTTTTTTTCCTTTTTGTATATTTAAGTATAAGATTTTGTAAGGTCACCGTTAACTCACTACATGCTTGTTCACATGTCTTATTTCCAATTATGTAATTCCAGTTGGTTTGGTTGATATCATTTTCTAAACGAGGGAGATCTTTTTGAGGTATATGAGTGAACAAATGATTATCCATGTCCTGGGGCTTGTGTCCAGATTTATTTAGTTTTCTTGCTACCAATGTGAGGTTGTGGTCAGATAGACCAGTAAGTAAATTGTATGTTTTTATTATCCTTTCGGGTTTATTTGTGAAGATGAGATCAATTAATGTTTGAGAAGTTTTGGTTACTCTTGTTGGTTTATTTATCATTTGGGTCATTTGATATGTTTTCATCATATTCTTAAGTTTTGTCTTGCATGCTGCATCATTCCAGTTTATATTGAAGTCTCCCATGAGTAAAATGTCTTTGCCATCAAACATTTTAAGCATTTCAAACAGTTCAGAGTAAAAATCATTTGTGGCTCTAGGTGGACGATAGAGAGCTATGATAACAAATGACATTTCTGGATAGAGTGTGATATTGACTCCCACACATTCTAATTTATGTTTGGTGAGGTCTATCTCCTGACTTTGGATATAATCTTTAACATAAATCAGAACACCTCCTCCCTTTCCCTTTTCTCTATCCGTCTATAAACATTGTAGCCTGGGACAGAATGTGCAGACAGGGGTGAAGTGGCACATAACCAGGTTTCACTTAGACATAAATAGTCCAGGTTAAAGTCCGTTAAAAGGTGTTCGATTTCCTCTGTCTTTGATAAGACACTCCGTCTATTTAGGTGTCCTCCAAAGACACCTTTTGGTTTTGAGTCAGGGTTCCATAGCACGCTTGCGTGATTGACAGTTTGGAAAAGTTTGATCAGTTTCAGAGCCACAGGTGCTTGACGCGCGCCATGGTGCGCGCTCGCGGTTTGTACAGTCTGCAAAAAGTTTTTGGCTATATTTTCTCGTGCATGTGAAGCGTCAGAGTGAACCATCGATACACTAGGAGTAGCGTTTACCTGTGGTTGATGTTGAGAGGCCATAGGCAGGACCACGGGTCCCGGGTTTAACTGAACGTCTCCACATAAGAGAAGAACAATGCAGAGCAGGGTTTCGCCTCGCCGTCCGAACATGCTTCGCCGTGGCACCCCGTGTTCCACACTTGGGGCGATGGCCTTCCCTTTGTCCAGCACATGGGAGAATATGATGAATTGGCTCCAGGAAACCAGCGGTACAACGTGGAAGCGTCCCATCAGTGTGCGCTGCTCCACGGGACGAGGCGGAGCCACACTTCCCTCAGGATGCGCGGTGCGTTCCCGTGCAGCCGCCTTCCAGTTTCCATACAATTGCATGATGAGAAGAGCCAGCACGCATAAGGCCACAGTCATGTTATACAAAAACTTCTGTGTTTTGCCGTGTTTGTAAATGAGGACCCATTTTTCGACAGGGCCAGAATATATGAGAGAGATCAGGCGGCTTCCTTGATGTTTTAGGAAAAGTCGCAGCAGCACCTGCCAAGCTGCCGCACCTTGCTGCAGCCATGACAGCCATGTGACTGGGCCTCTATCGCTCTGGTGCTCAGGGCCTGCTCCTGTGCAGCCATGATGAGTGCCTCTGTCCTGTAGGCCAGCCCTTTCTAGCCATTGGTAGGACTTCTTGAGATCAGCCACTTCTGTTATGCTCCGGTGGTACATGCCGTGTAGGGGCTTGTCCTCCCATGATGGGCTCTCCTCCAGCACCTCCTCATCTCGCCACTGCCTGAGACATTCACTGAGTACGTCATCCGTTTTGGCCTTCTCCAGGATGTAGTTATGGAGTTTGGATGTTTGGTCCTGGACAGTGGCTCTCACACTCACTAGTCCTCGGCCTCCTTCTTTACGGCTTACGTACAGTCTCAGGGTGCTGGATTTGGGATGGAACCCGCCATGCACGGTAAGGAGCTTTGAGTTTTAACATCCGTGGTCTGAATCTCTTCCTTTGGCCACCTGATTATTCCTGTGTGGATAACATTGTGTAACCGACTATATCCTCTTCTGTGTGGATAACTCTGTACCGACTAGGAAGGTACGGTGCTTTTCCAACAACCACCCATGGGTGACCCCTGAGCTTGAAGCCCTCCTGAACCTCAAGAAAAGGGCTTTCATCTCAGGGGACAGGGAGGAGCAGAAGAGGATCCAGCACGAGCTCCAGTGGAGGATCAGGAGGGCCAAGAAGGAATACGGGAAAAAGCTGGAGCAGAAGCTGGCCCAGGGAAACGCCTGCGACGTGTGGAGAGGCCTAAAGAACATCTCCGGCTTTGGACAGAGTGCCAGAGGGACAGCGGATGGAGACCAGCACCGGGCGGATGAATTTAACCAGCACTTCAACCGGTTTGATTCTCCCCCCTCTCCATCTGCCCCCCCTCCCGCCCCCACCTCTTCACACGTCCCCAGCCCAGTGGACACTGCCCAGTGGACACTGCCTTCAGCTGCCCCGGGCCCTCCTAAGCCCAACCTCTGACAGTTGTATGCCGTTGACGCATTAATACTTCAAATGGGTTTTCCGCTGTTTTCATGCTCCCAGATGTCTTACTCTAACATGTTTGGGGATTAGCTTTAGAGAATATTTTATGAAGCCAGCAGGGGGCAGCAGCGCTCTCTGGATGTTTGAAAACAAGATGCACTTGAGCCTTTTTCTCAGCTTTTTGTCTAAAACTGGTGATTTCAGTGAAACTTCCCTCTACTCGACTGGGGATTACAGGGGAACGAAACAAGCTAGAAACAACATTCTCTTTGCTGATGAAAGTAGACAGTGCATTCTTTCGAATCTGTTTAGGATTTCAGATAGTACACAATCATAGTACACAATATTCTGTGGGTCTTGAAAAATCTGTAAAAACCATCAGAGACTGCTGGCACTATCGGAGTACCTGTTCTGAAATAGGTAATGAGTTTATGTAAACAAATCCAAACGTGTGATTTATGTAAAAAGTGTTCGCTGCAGATTAAGGAGTCCTTGGATCATGGCTCCGTCCTTTTGGTCGATCGCCGCCATCGTCCTCTGTCTTTATGATGAGCATCAGATGCGTGCGTGTTACAACCAACCGCACAGCAGAATATCTCAGTTCTGGTTGTTATTCGGTGAAACAGGTTGTTTTGGTCAGGTGTCCGTAGGTTCTTCACAGTTAAGGCGCGTTCAGACCGGATCATGCGTTGCGTCGGGTTTCAATGCAAAGTCTATGGTGACGCAGCGTCAAAACGCACCGACCTCTCGGCACGCACCTACGGACCGCTGAGTAGAGCTGCATGGACTTGGCGGGAAAGTGAAAGGGGAGGAGCAGGAGCGGAAAATGGACGCCCACAGGAGATAAACTTTGCTCAACTTTTCCTCAGGACGTTCGTTCAGCGACCAATCAGAGAGCAGCAAAGTGGTCACGGGGACATTGGTGGTCTGAGCGAACAGACTGAACATACTGTAAACAGCCAAAACAGGAGCTAAACCAGGACTAAACCAGGGCTATACCAGGACTAAACCAGGACTATACCAAGACTATACCAAGACTAAACCAAGACTAAACCAGGGCTATACCAGGACTCAACCAGGACTAAACCAGGGCTATACCAGGACTAAACCAGGACTATACCAAGACTATACCAAGACTAAACCAAGACTAAACCAAGACTAAACCAGGGCTATACCAGGACTCAACCAGGACTAAACCAGGACTAAACCAGGGCTATACCAGGACTCAACCAGGACTAAACCAGGGCTATACCAGGACTCAACCAGGACTCAACCAAGTGCAACATGTACGTCACGTGATTAGAGAAGAACAATTACTATAAACTAAGAAGAACTGATTCGGCTCGGAGGAAAGTGAGACAATGCTTAATAAAAGACATATACGAGGGGTACGATTATGGGTTTTGTATTGCGCTGAATGATATGTACATGTGAAACAATATACAGAAATATATACAATATGTACAAAGTGCACTGTTGGTAGTTGATCGGAATAAGGTATGGTCCACAGTCCAGAACTCTAACTCAAGAGTGTAATCCACAACGCGATGGGTTATTGTCCATGTGTGAAAGCAGCAGAGATAGTTCGTTTGAATAATTAGTCCAGAGTATGAATATTGTCCCCAAAAGCGTTGGAAGTGAGTGGGTGAGTTATGTGGCTGCAGAGCCCCCTACCACATTCGCAGAATCAAATAAAGATGTACTCTCCTGAAGCCCAGAAAGTATTGAGGACCTGGCCGGTTCCTTGCAGAATACAGAGCACACAAACACACAATGTGCTCAGTAAGGACAGAGGCATCTGCAGCCAACTCAGTCTGGCATCCCACCCAGTTACCGGTGGAGCCGCAGTAACTCTGATTATGACTACTGGAAGTTGCGTTCGAGACTGCCCTGCGGAGTATCGCGAGACTAGCGTTACTATGGTAACGAGGAGCGGTAGGAATGAAAATAATACAGTGGGAGGCAACCAGAATTTTAATATGGGTTACACCCTCCCCCGCTTAAGATCATGCGCGTCTCGTCGCATACGAAGTTTGTGTTAATCTATTTCCTGAGCTAGAGAATATCTGCTCTAGATGCTCTCTCTAAAGTCTCAGTGTAAATATCAGAAAGGCTATGAAAGAGACTCTGAACAACTGAAATGACAGGATTTCCTAAAAGGGAGTACTGAAGACGATTTGGTGGGCGTCTATCACGACTAGAACGTCTAGGTACATTGTTGGCCATTTCAGTGACTTCCGGACTTGTCGGGGCACTTGGGACAGAAGGCTCAGATGGAATGGACTCCAGCACAAGTTCCACTTGGGGGGGTAGATCCTCCATAGGAACAGTGTCCTGTATTTCATTTCCTCCGGAAACATCATCTTCAAGCCCATTCTCTTCTTCCCCAGCAGGGACCTCATCAACATCAGATTCAGAATGGAGAGTAGAAGGTGAAACTGGTGTGCTATCCACTGCAGCAGCAGTACCTGAGTTCGGTATAATCACAGCGTCTGTTTCAGATTGAACCTCTGTTAGGGTCACAACAGGATGCGTGTCAGCAGGTAGTTCATCATCGTGACTGGAGGCATGGATCTCAACAGGTAGTTGGAATGAACGAGGCTGAACAACCCAAGGAACATCTTCTTCCGCAGACAGGTAAGTTGTATCAGGTTCAGCTGTAGGTTGACTCCGAGTTTGTGGTCTACGAGGAGGAGAAGGTTTGGATCTCTGTGTTGCAGAACTGGCTGGCAGAAATCCACACGGAAGAAGCAAGTCACGATGTAGCGTGCGAGTTGGACCTTCACGAGCTTCTGGCCTAACTGTATAAACAGGCAGATCTCCGGCACATCGAACAACAACATAGACGTCGGCTTCCCATTTGTCTTCAAGCTTATGTTTTCCTCGTAACCTTACATTTCGGACAAGGACTCTGTCTCCAACCTCCAACTTGCATGGCGTCACTCGTTGATCAAACCGTGTCTTGTTCCTTTCGGCAGACTTAAGTGCATTTTTGGAAGCAACTTGATAACATTCTTCCAGACGGGATCGCAGATCTTTGACATACTGAGTGTGTGTTGGAGTTGGCGTCTCTCGAACTGGCAAGCCAAATGCTAGATCAACTGGCAGACGAGGAGTCCTTCCAAAAAGAAGTTCATATGGTGTGAAGCCAGTAACCTCGTTGCGTGTACAATTGTACGCATGTACAAGCGGTTTCACGTATTCACGCCATTTACTTTTCTGTTTGCGCTCCAGGGTACCCAACATGCTCAACAGAGTCCGGTTGAACCGTTCCACCGGGTTACCTCTGGGATGATAAGGGGTGGTATGAGTTTTCCTCATTCCAGTTGCCAAACAGAGCTCTTGGATCAACTTGGATTCAAAGTCAGGCCCCTGGTCTGTATGTAGTCGCTCGGGGATACCAAAATTGACAATGAAATCATTGAGCAAACATCTGGCAACGGTCTTTGCCTTCTGATTTGGCGTGGGGAGCGCAACAGAGAATTTTGTAAAATGGTCTGTTAGCACCAGAATGTCTTTTGTGTTACTGCTGTCAGGCTCAAGAGACAAGAAATCCATACACAAAAGCTCTAGAGGTCGAGTTGTGGTGATGTTGACCAACGGAGCAGCACGTTCGGGCATGGCCTTCCGTCTCACACACCGATCACAAGTATGGATCTTCTTCTCCACATCAGAAGACATTCTTGGCCAGAAGAACCGCTGACGCACCAAGTCAAGCGTTCTCTCGATCCCCATATGGCCCATGTTGTTGTGAAGGCTTGTGAGGACCACTGGACGCAACTCAGGTGGTAGAACAAGCTGAAAAGTAGAGTTTGCGTCCTCATGCCGCTTCCTATAGAGGATTCCATCT